CTGTAGTGGTTATACAGCTTTTCTTAGTGTTTTGCTTGACTTAAGGGTTCGATTAAAGTTCAAACCTCGTTTGTTTTTTGTTGCGTGCGTGCGGGGGCCCCTTGCCCGGCTCTTTTACTTCTGAGCGGAAGGCCCTCCCTTCCTACTTCCTTGGGTCGGAGACCCTCCACCTCGTAGCCGCCATGGCTTCGTCGCCTGGCACTCCCTTGGGAGGGGAGCGGGGTCGCCGGCGCAGCCTCTCGCCTCCAGCAGCCGGCGCTGCCTCAGGGGTGACAGCCCCCATGGTGGTGGACGCTCCTTCTACAGCAGGTACCCGGGTCCTTTGCCCTGTTCCCAGTTACCCGTGCAGCGACACAACTCGACATCGGGGGGTGGGCAAACATCGGAACTATGAAGGACCACATTAACACATACCTGTCTGGCAACTTACGTGGCGAGGTGCCTCCGGAGTGGCTCCGGACCAATGCTCGCACCCGCTGCTTGGTCTGTGGCCTCAACGTCTTTGTGCACCACGGGGTGCATCCTACCTGCCGACCAGCAGCCCGGGCCGCCCTGGGGCCAGAGCATACTCCAGCAGCCTCTGCGCCGCCGGCACTTCCTACGATGCAGGAAATCCATGGAGGGCGGATGCCGACACTCCGTTACGTCCCAGCAGCAGCCCGCTACCTGTGGAACAAGACGCTCACCCGAGCCTTGACAGCCGCTGCGCACTACAACGACCTCCGGTCCTGGCAAGAGCTCGCGATGCTGCCCCAAACTGTGCTAGATGCTCCCCGGCGCGGCGGGCGCCAACACGCTCGTGCAGCTGCCGCTTACACCAAAGACAGGTTGTAGCGATGGGATGCTGGTGAACGGCTGAGTGTTTGGGAGACCCGGCAGCAGCCTCTCCCACGGCGTGCGCGGCGACGCACTGATGAAGAGCGACGCGAGCTGGCCGTCGGTCTAGCCCGCGAAGGTTTCGATGGCAAAGCATGTGCTGCCCTTCTGGCAGAGGGGCTCTGTGCTGAAAAACCAACAACCGTGGCAGCGCTTTAGAGCTTGCACCCGACACAGGCCTCTCCACTACCAGTGGCTGCCCACGAGCTGCCTGTGGCACCAGAACTCTCACCAGATGATGTTCTCAAAGCATTGTA